GCCCAATGTTGTTGTAGGTATTAGCCAATGAAGGATGATCTTCTGGGAGAGTTTTTCGCTTGATTTGAAGAGATTTTTCGTAAAATGAAACTGCTTCTTTGTATTGTCCTTGGTTGTCTTTCATCTCTCCAAGCATATGATAGATATCTGCTTTATCACTGTCGTTGGATGTCTGTTTTAGTAACACGGAGTATAATTCTTCGGCTTTGTCGAATTGACCTATTTTCAGCAGCAATTTACCTAATCGTATCCAACCTGTTTGACCTGCAATTTCTTGTTGTATATGGTAGGCTAAGTCACGGAGTTGTTGGTCATCATCTGACGCAAGTTTAAGGTCTACTTGATAAAGTGACTTTTTGTTGTCAATTTTTCGGATGTCACCAATTCGAAAAACAGTATGAGTAGAGAAGAGAATTCCTTCTTCGTCCTTGTCATAACTCACCTCCTCGATTGAGGCAAACGGAGTCGATGAGATGGTAGGATCAATGGTCATTTGAAAGAGAACACCCACCGTATCGGTTGTTTCGAAAGTAGTCTTGGCGAATTCGAGGGATATTTCTCGGTTTTTACTGGTGGATAAAAAATTATTGAATGATGTAAGTCCACCTGTGTTTTTAGCGAGTCTTTCAAAGTCGGATGCCAGTAATCCTTGGCCCCGATATACTAGAAAGGTCTTACCATGATAAAGACTGACCTGTTTCTTGTATAAATGTTCGATTTGTCGGTGGAGATCACAAAGAAAAAATCCCATTCTGATAATGATGTCGCCATCTACCGTTTGTAATGCTCTATTGAGCATTTTGTACGTGAAGCACTGCCGTGTGTACCACCAAATAGCGTCTGATGGTTTATACGTACGTTGAAATTCTTTAATAATTTCGAGTTCTTTCTTATTGTCCTGGTATCGTTCTTGACAAAATGTAACCAAATCTTTGATGGCTTCCTGGCCATGTTTCATATCAAGGAGAATTTCCTTGAATATTTGTGAATACATGAAGCTCGGTTCTAGCTGATTGAGATTTTCGCTAGAACCTCCTTCATTCACACTAATGATACTGGCCGATATGGTATCTTGATTACATTTCTGGATAGTCACTGCCAGTGCTTCGCAAATCGGCTTGATTGACGTGTGAACACCTTTGATTTTCGCCCAATTTTTGGTCCATGCTTCATGGCGTTGTTTGTCACCACAGAAAATGTAAATTGCATTTAATGTTGGAATGCTATGAATGTTTGGCACGAGGTGTTGTCCCAATGCTCCAGAAGAGATAACAAATGCTGTCTGCTCGTTATTTTCATTGAGAGTTTGAATGCATTGCTCTGCTGTGGTGCAAGGCGCCAATACGTTAACGACACTACACAATTGCGAAAGTGTATTTTGACAATCTTCCTTTGTTGAATCAATATTTCCATCGACCCAGATGACCAAATAGTTTTCAGCGATGTGTCGTCTTCGTCGTCCGCTCATTTCGAGGAAAACGTTTGCCGTTTGATCAATAATTGAGTATGATACAATAATAGATTACTGTTTCAGCTGAGATTACCTTTTCTATTTATAAACTCGATGTTGCTTGTTGTTTTTCTAGACTCTTCTACAACGTCAAATGTGGGTATATTTTTGTGTTGATAGTCAACAATAAAATGAAAAAGAAAAAAAATCCTGCAATATCATTTATTTTTATGGTTATTCTTTCCAACTTTGGTTTGCTTTTCATCGACACAATCACTTGAGTGTTAATGTGTTACATATCTTGTTGCTTTTTTTTCTCTCGCATGTAAGAACGAAAAAACAACAAAGACATCGCCAGTTTCGACTTTTTTTGTTTATGATCATCATGGACATTGTGCTGATGTGAAGGAAACAAGAAGAAAAATAAATTTTATTTTCATTAGAGCAACAAGTGAGTGACGATTTTTTTACCTTGTGAAATATAAAAGACATTATTAACAATTGATTAAAGTAAAAACAACTATTCACATCGTGCTAAATTCTCAACGATATGTATTGTGCATCATAGTTACTAAAGATTATGAGTTCCCAAATTAGAGTTCGAAAATCATGGAAGATTGAAGTGCATATTATCAATTCAAAAATGAATGAAGCAGCAAAATTCTCAGTTTTCGTATAGATAGAACAAATGACCACAAGCTTTATTTTTATTCTCATTCGAAAGATTATCACTGGATAATATCGTGCATCTGCCACTCTCTCAGATCTCGCTTTCAATAAAATAGAAAGATATACCATAAAATGCTGCTCATTTCTCTCGATTTAATTATTTTATTTTTTGCTGAAGTCCCAGAAAGTTTCGTGAAGTACATAATATTATGGGAACTATCACTTTTGGGTATTCTCGACAATAGCTAGGGTCAGCATAATTTTTATTATTCAAACCTAATATGAAACTTAATAGTGCAGACCTGCCGAATGTCTGTGCAAAGATATAGAAGTTTGTTTCGCAAAAAATAGTCGAGTGTGGAGGTGGGGCTGAAGATTGTCGTGAATTTTATGAACATCCAAATGTACCCACCTCCGCGCCGATATCCACACCCTCGATCGATTATACAGTTTTACGATATGGCCAAAATTTGATTGAGTGTCTTTGTTTGCAATGCCTTTCATTAATAACCTGATACGCTACTCTGCACAACACTATAATCACAATGTTGTCAACACACACTGATTCAGCTTCACTTTGCCTGAGTATTAATTGTTTTTTGTTTTCTTTTTGCAAGTTGGAAAAAACCAACTGTCGACAGTTGATCAACTGCGCCATTCATTCATTGCTTATCAGATTCTTTTTGCGCAAATGAAAGTCAATACTCAAGTATGTCTTGTGGACATAAATTGGCTTGCTCGTGAAAAAGAACCGAAAGAAAGTATGCACAGCAAACGACATTTGAGTGTGCGTGCCGTGTGTGTCGGTGTGGTGTGAGAGTGTTAGCGGGAGTGGGTGTGAAGTGTTGGATGTGATTATGGAATATGGATGTAGATGCAGATTTTGGTGTCGATGGATATGAAAAGTAGACACCCACACCAACGCCTTCTTTCAGGACTAAAAATTAGTTTCATTTTCACTTTCATCTTTTTTAATCGATGCACTGTTATCAAAACATATTCTTCTATATTTTGTACTCTCAACGTTTTTCTTTATTCATATAAATTCTTCTCGCAATATTATTTCTAGTGGTGCAAGACGACAATTCTAAACAACATATATGCTTATTCGAAAAAACCAATATGAAAAAAAATTTCATAAATAATATGTATTACGACAACAAGTTTTTAGTTCAATATTGAATAGCTATTTGAAAACAAGTATGTGATTGAGAGAATTAAACAAAACAGATCAACTATTTATTTATTTATCATTATCTCCATAGTAACGATCATGTTCAATATCTGTGTTGGTCGTTCATTATTCTAGCATAGAAGATGATGAAATGAAAAAAAAAAGTTATCATTCAATTAAGTTTATAAAAAAAATGTAGATATAAAAGCATGAAAAATAGTCTTTTTTTCCACCATATGTTGCCGATCATATTATTCAAGGATTTGTCTGACTTCGTAATAATTGAGCTCTTCTCGTATCTGTCGACTGTTGACGTTCTCGAGAGATTCACTCGTGTTAATTATTGATTAACTGGATTGATAACTGAACGAAAAAAAATTTTTTCATCTTGTTAACATATCACTTGCAACTCATCATCAATTTAATACTATTCTTAATCTTCTTCCATTGAACGAAACTCAGTCACTTGTTATTGACAATGGTTTGTGTCCATTGCAGTTATTTCGTTGACCTTATTTATCTCGTTTGAGAACATTGGAAATTTTTGGTTCACATAGTTATGGTGATAGTTTGTTTTCTATAATACTTCATGCAGCAGCACTCAATCATTTTACCATCGAACCAAACGATAGAATAGTATATGTAAGTGTTAATGTAGACCGATTGTCTCCATATACACAAAAGCTACAGACAAAAACGAACACAAATGATTTATTATTCTGCTTTTCATTTGTTGGTATTCTTCAAGAAAAAATAATTCAACGATGTGCATCATTGAGGACAATAATAAAATTTAAAGATCATACAGTATTCGAATTTTATCTTTCCATTGATATATTTAAATAAAGTCAGATGCTTTCAATATAGCTGTGCAAGTACGGACTTTCTCGAGTACGAGTACGCAAGAGTTTCGTAAGACTTCACTACAGAAATTTTAATTAGTTCACTTAGAAATGACGCATAACGTTTGAGATCAACACATTAATGCAGTCATAAATCGAAATATTCTTATTATAGTGTTTTTATGGCGTGAGCATGAGGCTGGTGTGAGTGTTTACGTAAGTGTGGGCTTGTTGTTGTCACTAGTGCTCAAATTCTGATTGAGCTGTAATTTTACAGCAGTGAATTCATTTTATTCAATGAAAATGAATCATATAGACAAATTGAAAGAACAACTATATAGTATACAGAGACAAATTAGGTACCAATTACATACTACATGACTATTGAACGAAACTAATAAAAAAGAGTACGTCAGTTGTTATATCATGATGTGACGTCTATGAATTTACCATGATACAAATATGTATAGAAGAAAAAGAAGAAATGATCTCTGCATTTCATTCTGAGAAAATACAAAGTACAATAATTATTAAGCATAATTTTGTTAAAATCTGTACGTATCTAGGAAAATGAGTACGAGTACTTCGAGTACTTTGTCACAAAGAAAAGTGAAATAAGGACTAAGATTAGTTGATCTCTGAAAATAATTATAGTTTTCTTACGTAAGCGTGCAAAATTGTCGCCCATAAATTCCATGTTTTGCACTACTTTATGTTCTTTGGATCTTAAACACACCCTCAAACGTGGGCAATGAATAAATATTATCGGAGAAAATGTTTTATTGCTCAATGCGTTAATTTATTTGATTATAGTAGAAATAAGGATGTCAACTACTCTGACGTGTGTTAGATTCGTTGCAGTTTATTATGAAACAGAATAAGAGGTTGGTGAAGGATGTTCGGCACACGTGATTGTTTCTGGGTAGTAAGAAAGAGAATTCGGTAATACGTTGGCTGCGTGATTTAGCTGATGCTGTTTTGCGTTTGTATCGGAGTCAGTTGCTAATATAACCGGTATACTGACATCAACAATTGTCGACATGTCCTGGGCTTTCACTTCGAATTCTAGAATATAATTTATATGTACGTTAGTCGTATAAGGAAAACCGCCATGAAACTGATACGATGGAGCCAAATGTGTAAAAGGTATAGCGAGAGAAAAGTTTTCTATTATACGCTTCTCTTCTGTATTAACAGTTGTCGGTAGGATTGTATGAACGATTGTTTCTTTTCCTGTATTAAGCTCAATTCGATAATGTTGAACCAAAGATAAACAAATTTCTTTCAATAAAAATTTTTGCGGATTTTCAATTTCTAAGGTTCCTGTAATCATTTCACCATGCACATAACCTAGTTTATTTATATTGCCTTTCAAAGTAACATCTTTTCGATTATGACCACCAAATATAGATGATATCAAACACTGTGGATTATTTAATAGATTGACACATGGCAACACTATCAAATTGAGAGTTTCATTTGTATTTCGTTTGTACCAAGGTTTATCGACAACCAATTTCAAATAATATCGAACGTGCGGATACTCAAGTGGTTCGTTGATCGTAGGTGGAAGCTGCCGTGGCAATTGAATGTTGAATTGCCATGAATGCTCCCCAGAATGATAAACCAATTCTTTTTTTTCTGGTCCTGGATTTTCCAAAACTGTTTTTTCTGAAAAAAAAGTTATTTTATGAAAAAAACCATCCGTATTTCTTGAGCCATATGGTCCAAAATCAGAAGGGTCCGTTGTATAACCTGTTTTGCCTTTCAACACAAGAAATACTTCGTCGACTTTCACGTGTCCTTCCTTGATATCTGCAATGACTGTTCCCGATACTGATTCACCCGCGAAATAAAATGGATTCGTTCGATCAAGATTTATAGTGACATTGACACTATTGGTGGAGCCCATTGTCTTAAAAAATTTATCTATAAAAAATTCATCCAATAAAATTTCTTGCAAAACAAGGAAAACAGACAATAACAGACTAATTGTTTTTGACATTTTAAGTCTTAGTGAAAAATACAGCAACAACATAGTCACCAATTCTAAAATTGAATCTATTTCGTCGTAATCTCCATTCTCGTTTTGATTATTGTCAAACCACTTTTGGAACAAAATATATGCTGACTTTTTTGGTGACTCAAAAACAGTAAATGAAAGCTAGCAGTAGTTAACAAAAGTCAAAACTTTGTGTTCTTCGCTAATATGGACTCATAAAGTTTGTATTGATTATAGCTCGAAAATATTGAAGGAACTTTGTAAAATCTTTCATCATTAGTTTAGATGGAACTAATAGGTCTCAGTTTCTGGACACAAAGTTTGTTCATTTTTGGCTTTCTTGAAAGAATTTTACTCGAGTAAAAAACTCATCGCTATGAATGCAAAATGTTACACGCTTCCCAAGTAATAGAGAAAAAAAATGAGTTGCGAGTATGGAGCGTAGATACCAATGTGTGACTGAGTGTGGATCAGTATTGCAACTGATAACGGTAAACGATCGATCCGGTCTGATCACAGATTCCTTACTGATCCGTAGATGCGTCTTTTTCTGAATCGATCGGTCTAGCACATTTACCAATTTTTGCAATTTCTTTTCCTTGAAAACCCGATCATAAAAGTGTCTGTTTTTTTCATGTAATGATTTTTACTGATATTAATAGCTCTTTCTATCGAGAATCAGTGATCAGAATATTTGTATTTAGTAAATATTCATCAGAACACGCCTAATATATTTTATGAAGCTTTTTGCATATCAAGTTGTATTACCAAACACCTTCGAAATCACTGTTTGTCATTGTAATTTATTGCATATTTATTTTCGTTTTCTATTATTTACACTACGTCTTTCGTAGAGAGAAAAGAGATGATAAAGTAATCTCGACTGAGGAGATATACCATAAATCACCAGTTGATTCAGAATTTTTTGGCTGACGAAGATGGCATTAGTCTACAAAGCCAATGCAAGACTTTTAGTTCTATGTTATTTAACATTCATGGATAGATGCCAAAGGAGAGAAAATCTATAAAAACAGATAGTGAAGAACAAGCTTTTAGCGCCAGCCCTACGAGAAATAACTTAAACGGGATGCAAGTACTCTGACTATTTTGAGGATCATAGTTGGGAAAAATAAAAACTCCGTACTTCACTGTACTCCAAAATTCTACTATCAACGTGCCACGAGTAAACTACATAGTTTGAGGCAAGGGGGGGGAGTGAGAGCGTACTTTTGAACTTGAAGTTACTTTCAGCTACTCTAACGGTACTATAAGCTACTTTGAATTACTTGAAACTTCTTTGGCTTCTTTCATGTGACTTCGAGCTACTTGTCGCTTGTACGGTATAGGTCCGAACAATGATCTTCAAAGTTATCAGTATAGTTCCTTTTGTTTTTTCTAACTGACAAACTAGGATGTGGAAATGGGTGTGAGTGTATGGGAGGCGCGAGTTCGATGTTGATTTTGAAAGCACAGTTCTCAACCCTATACCAAAACTCTAGTTCATCTTGTCTTTTAAATTGTCCAAAGACTTCGTTGGTAATGTTATTATTCAATGAAGTATTTTCATTATTATATTTTTAGTATTGATGTAAGCATTACAACTGTACTTCAAATGTTACTACCAAATTTTGTATTTCCATGGAATAGTTGAGAAAAAAAACAAATCCTAAATGACTGCTTAATTTTTAACCTGAAACGTGTTTGTCTTTTAAACCGAATCTTTATACACTGATGTATATAACTACGTTAGGTAATCAGCATATAATTTTCGTTTGAAGTAAAACCACATAGCAGCGGCGTAGCGAGGAATTTTTGAGTATTGGGCAGCCTTGGGCATTTGAAGAAACGACTGGACCACAGTTTTTTCAAAACTTCTTATCTGTTTCAAAGTCAATGTTTATTGAAGAAAAAAGTCAGCAGTCCTCACCAACAGACGTGCATGTTTGGTATCTTTTTACTGCTTTACAAAGATATGTTTCATTCTTGAAGTGTCTTATCATCTTTTGTGTGAAAACTACCACAATGGTTGTATTCTTTTTTTATTGAGTAACATAGGTGGGTATCCGACTTCGAAGCCCAGCACATGTTTGATATTATTTGTCACAGATGTAAAAGATTTTTCCTGTGGATTTTTCTCTAGCCAAATTTTCTGAAAAAGGTCGCGCAGCGACTTGTTTTTTTTAATTTTCTTGAAATCTAGTTTCATGACGACAATTTTATCGTATCAGACTTATGACCTGAACATCTATTGGGGAGAGCATGCCGCCGAACGCAGTGGCATTTTAGAACGGAATAAAATGTGTCATTGGATAAATCTGAAATTCATTAAATGGGAATTTGATTTTTCGGATATTCACAGTAAAATGTCACCTACTTGCTCCAATACTCAGCCGTTTTCAGCGGTTACACTTCCACTTTCTCGCGGAAAAATTTAACATTGATTGAACGAGATGCAATTCTTTTTCTTGCTCAACAGCGCTTAAAAAAGTGGAAACATACTATTTTGAAAGTTGAAAAAGGAGAAGATTAGCCAAATTAAAGAATTATTGAGAAATCTTATATGTGAAACAGAATTTTTTCAAATTTCAACAAACTGCACTCGAATAAACGGTCTGCTAAGAAATTTTCCTTAAGTTCCCTCAAAAACCGATCTCAGTCCGAATACGTTGAAATGGCATGAACTTTTCAGGACGAGTTGAGACTGCAGTGAGGAATCTTTGGTAAAATTTTCAACCTTATATTATGATGTTGAGAAAGATATCAGCGCAAAAAAGGTCAAAAAATAGCTTATTTGGCAAACAAGATCTCTCTGCCCAGGCTCATTGTATATATTCAAATTGTTTTTGTTTGAAAGAGCATGTCAGAATGCAGGGCCTACCATAGCCCTTTTTTAAATTCTTACTTTTTAAGAAGAAAAAAGGAATCAAAGTTTAATGACTCAAAAATCTCTAAAAATGAGTGCCTATTCATACGCGTAAATTTTTGTATATATACTAACAGCAAGCTTGATTTAAAAAAGAGCTCTGGTAAGCACTGCATTTCGACATGCTCATTCAAGCAAAAAGAAACTAAAGGTATAGAATAGATGCCGACAGAGAAGTTTTGCTGGCACGATCGAAAAAGCATAAACTGAGACAAAATGAGACATTTTCCATTTTATCTCAAAAATGCATATTTTTCAATGGAGATCACCAAAAATTTTGGCTGAAAATGAGGTATTGAATGAAAAATTGTACTGTTTCTGAAAGAGCAAACTTCGGACTATCTTCCCATGCATTTTTCTCAATTTCTGATTTTCTGACGAACATTGAATTTTCTTGAGGGATGAGAGCGAGAAGGCATTGAGCAGTCTATAGTTCAACCGTTTAATAACAGCCTTCTAACATTAATTCTCGAGACAGGACGAGAGTGAATTCCTGATTATCTTCCCCTCCGTTTTTATTCTTCGGCAGTGACGTCGGACTCTAGTCTGTCCTATTGTATAGGACAATGGCAAGGTCTACTCTATATTTGTATGGGTCTAATGTTTAGTTATTTATGAATCCTTCAAATCACGAATCGCCATTTCATTTGTCAATATTGGCAGTCCCTCACTTCTACTTTCGAAGCATTTTCACTCATCCGTTCGATCGATTTTCATTCAAAATTTCTATGTAGCTCACTGGATTTTTAAACTTTTATATTGTGACACTTATGTCATCAACTATATCCCCAAGATGTGTAGCCTAAAGTTCTATATCCATTGTCACTCGATATAGTTTGATGTGCTTTGAAAGACCGCTAAGCATTCATCCATGTTCTTTTAAAAATGCATTTTAGTATAAGACGAAGTGGTTTGACTAAAATATCATTAATATGTCATCATCATCAGCGTTTAATGCAAAAGACTGTCGAACGATCTTTTCAGATCAGTTGGTCAGCCCATAACAAGAGATAATGCATTAGAATTTCATCATGAAAGTCTATTAACTTACGTGTTCATGGAAGATTTTCATCATTGGGCAGTTAGTACCATTTCAAAAATATCCTTGGGCAATTTCCCAATGGCCCTACCCCTGACTAGACCACTGCCACATAGTGATGAAAATATAACACTTGTTATGTCACCTTTATCAGCAGAAAGTTTCACGCCAATAGAGGTAAATCGAAAACAAGCGATTCTATGGTTGACATTTTTAGGACCCAATTGATAAGTTCCGCTAGAAAGCTACTAAATGCACGTCAGGTATTTGCATTTTTTTCACATTGAATCAGAACATACCGACACTATTAAAATTGAATCATGTTTTAAATTTGAAACTATACAGTATTTTAAACCAGACATTCAAAGTAGTGTATCGTACCTAAAATAGTTACAAAAAGAAAAATTACCACAAGAAGAAAAATAAGAACTAACACCACATGAAAACAATAAAACAAAAAAAAAGCAAACTGATAAATTTCTCAATAAAGGATCATGGATTAAGCATGTTCGAGTAGTGTCAAGAGAAGGAATCAAGTAAATCGGGACATGCAGATACTTTATACTATACTTCTCTTTTTTATGAATTTATTGCGAAATCTTTAAGTTAATCTTTTGCCGCTAAGATTTACAGGAATGAACATTAGCAAAATCGCAGTAGACATACAGCAGAGCATCTGATGGAAAACTCAGTTTCATATTATTGTTAAAATGACATCTTCTGACGTTGTACTACAATATAGGATTTGCTATTGAAGCAGACACTATGTGACTTTTGTGTAACAGTTTTACTTTATCCATTGTAGAGAGATGTGATAAGCTGCTTCTGACAGTCTGACAGTATTTTTAAAAAGATACCTTCTTGGAATTCTGTGGAGGATTATTTACAAATAAATGTCGTGCATAAAAGATATATCGATTGCTAAGATGGAAGCAACGAGTAGAATAG